CGACAAAGGTTAGATCAACTCTTCAACAATATCGACCTGCAACACGGTTCTGCGACAGACATGTTGCAACGGATGAGAGAGGTTATAGGCCCAAGAACTTTCGACGAAGGTCTATTTAAACAACTCTTCTTGTCAAAACTTCCCCAACAGGTGCAAGCAGTTCTGGTCTCGTTCCAGAACAACGCCTTAGACGAGCTAGCTGCATCTGCCGACCGCATTTTAGAAATTACGAAATCTACTACCGAGGTATTTTCAGTTAAAGAAAAACCTCAAACGACTCAGAATGATATAAACGACTTATGTCACACACTCACGCGTTATCTTAGTCTTCGTACCGACCGTAAGAGATTGCGCACACCACGTAGAAGCATTTCTCGTAAGCGATCTGTCTCTAGACCACGAGAGACAGATAACCCCGACTGGTGCTGGTATCATAACCAGTATGGAAAGTTTTCCAGAAATTGCAGAAAACCCTGCAATTTTTCCAACACGAAACCGACTGGTTCGAAAAGCAATTCGGGAAACTTCCAAGCCGGCACGCGTTAACGGCAACCGTAGCCGGCGAACAAAGCCGTCTGTTATTCGTCACAGATGTGACAACGAGAGTTCGCTACCTCGTCGACACTGGCGCAGAAGTTAGCGTTCTCCCAGCAAATCCTAACGACCGACTACACGAATCGACCCTAAACTTACAGGCGGCAAACGGAAAACCGATCGCTACGTATGGCAAAAGGTACGTTTACCTTAACGTGGGTTTACGCAAACCCATCCACTGGATTTTCGTTGTTGCAGATGTTTCTATGCCAATCATTGGTATGGATCTTCTACAACACCACAATCTGATCATCGACACGCGCAAACGGAGGCTAGTAGACGGTAACACTAATTTGTCCGTTTGCGTAACTTCTTTTACTGGTTGTAGAGTATCCCCAGTCACAGTTAAACATATGATAGACCCACTCTATCAACCACTACTCGATAAGTACCCTGAGATACAACAAACTCAAACGAAACTACCGTGTGTAACCAGCAATGTTACACATCACATCACGACTACAGGACCACCTGTATTTTCTAAAGCACGCCGACTAGCTCCTGAAAAGCTAAGGTTAGCGAAAAACGAATTCGATCACATGATGGACTTAGGAATCATACGACCGTCAAGTAGCCCATATGCATCTCCGTTGCACATGGTCCCTAAAAAGGACAGCAACGATTGGCGTCCAACTGGTGACTATCGGCGATTGAACGCGAAAACCATTCCCGATCGTTACCCGTTGCCTCACATTCACGATTTGACAGCTACCTTGAAAGGTACAACTGTCTTTTCGAAAATCGACTTGGTTAAAGCGTATAACCAAATACCCATGGCTACTGACGACATACCGAAAACGGCTATCATAACTCCCTTCGGACTCTATGAATTTTTGCGAATGCCTTTCGGTCTAAGGAATGCTGCTCAAACATTCCAAAGATTCATAGACGACGTTTTTCGAGGCCTCAACTTCGTACACGCGTATGTTGATGACTGTCTAATCGCAAGTCCGGACAGAGAAACACATCTCAAGCATCTGGATCTTGTTTTCGAACGACTTCAAAAACATGGCATAACTGTAAACGTTCAGAAATGCCAATTCGGAACCGACTCGTTAGACTTCCTAGGACACACTATCGATGCTCAAGGCATTCGACCTCTTAGGACCAAAGTGGCGGCCATTCTGGATTACCCAGAACCGACCACCGTCAAGCAATTACGCACGTTTAACGGCCTGGTAAGTTTCTATAGACGTTTCATACCCAAATGCGCAATACTTATGAAACCTCTGACCGACCAACTTCGTGGAAATGCGAAATCCATTAATTTGGACGACACCGCACGAAAAGCATTCTCCACAGTTAAGGAACTGATTGCTAAAGCAACAATGCTCGCACATCAGGACACCCGAGCACCCATTAGCATCGCAGTAGACGCATCCGACTCAGCAATCGGAGGAGTCTTACAACAATGGGTTAACAACTCCTGGCAACCCTTGGCATTTTTCTCTAGAAGGTTGCTAGACACCGAATCGAGGTACAGCACATTCGGTAGGGAACTTCTAGCTATGTATTGTGCTGTACGGCATTTCCAACACTACATCGAAGGTCGTGAATTCACTCTTTTCACGGACCATAAACCGCTCACTTTCTCGTTAAGCTCTCCTTCTGACAAGTACTCTCCCCGTGAGTCTCGACAACTGGACTACATTTCGCAGTTTACTTCAGATATTCAACACATCTCTGGAGCAAACAATGTAGTTGCAGACGCTTTATCTCGTATAACTTCCTTGAACAGTTTCCAAGGAATCGACCTTCTTAAACTCGCCGAGCTTCAAAAAGAAGACAGTGATCTTCAGCACGAGTTATCGTCCACAACACTAAAACTACGCATCAAACAGATGGGAACAGGTAAGGAAACCTTACTTTGTGACACATCTACAGGTAGGGATCGCCCAATCGTGCCGAAACATTATCGACGCAATGTCTTCAACACATTGCACAAACTTTCGCATCCAGGTGTTCGTGCAACCATCAAGCTTATAGCAGAAAGGTTTTGCTGGCCTGGAATGAATAAAGACGTGAGGGAGTGGGCACGCTCCTGTGTAAGCTGCCAAAAATCTAAGGTTATCAGACACAATAAATGTCCCTTAGGCTCGTTTAAAACTCCCGATGCTCGTTTCGACCATGTTCATCTGGATTTGGTAGGACCTTTACCAGATTCAAATGGATACTCTTATCTCTTAACCTGCGTAGACCGTTTCACTCGATGGCCAGAAGCAGTACCTATCAAGGACATCACTGCTGAAACAGTGGTTCGCACCTTCGTCGAACGATGGGTAGCAAACTTCGGCTGCCCTTCAACCATCACTACAGACCGCGGACGTCAATTTGAATCTGATCTTTTCCGTCGTCTGACCACACTTTTAGGAATCACTCGATTCCGAACGACCGCCTACCATCCACAAGCAAACGGGTTGGTAGAACGTTTTCACCGACAACTGAAAGCTTCGCTATCAGCTGCAAACGTTTCACAGTGGACCGACGCTCTTCCACTCGTCTTACTAGGTATCCGCAATGCAGTGAAAGCTGACATTGGATACACTGCGTCTCAACTCGTTTATGGAACGACACTTCGACTTCCAGGAGAATTCGTGGATCCTTCATCCTCTTCAATGAACATGGATCTAACCTCCTACACGAACAGGCTTACAAACGCAATGCGTTCAGTTAAACCTGCTTCCACCCGACCTCAATCAACTGATGTTTTCGTTCAACCTGACTTACGATATAGTACACACGTTTTCGTTCGTCGAGACTCGCATCGACGACCCTTCGAATCAGCATACGAAGGACTCTTCAAAGTTCTTTAACGTGAATCTAAGTACTATATAGTCGATAAGAACGGAACCAACGATAGCATCAGTATCGATCGCTTAAAAGCAGCGTATTTAGAAGGAAATCCTATCTACGTGGATTTTCCTTCGGTACAATTGAACGACACGACTCCGACACTTATAATACCTCATCCGACAACCAACACACACGATGATACTTCGACAGTATCCGAAAATAAACTTAAAACGACGCGTTCTGGAAGAAGGGTGAGATTTCCAGAACATCTAAACGACTATTGCACGTAAGGCACTTCTCGACATTTTATATTATTTTTTTAAAAAAAAAAACAATTTTAATATGCTTATATATTTTTATTTCTATTTAAAAAAAAAACAAAAAAAAACAATTTTTTTTAACGCTATTACGTGTTCATGAGTTTATTTTCCTTTTTTTTTCCGCCGACATTGTGCTTTTACGCACATACGAGTGTATTTCGACATGCACTTACATTTTCTTTTTTCTTTTCCAGGACGGCTGGAAAAGAACGATGACGTTTATGAGGATCCGAAATTTTCCATGTACATTTTCTTTTTTTACTATGTTGTACCTCCGTCCCATATAGTAAGGAAAGACGACCAGACGCTGCTAAATTTAGTAAGCTATCAGAAGAGTGTTTACCAACGACAAACTCGTTGGGTTTAAACTTCTGGCTGGCCACGTCTTAGGGTCGTCACTGCCCCACTAGGGGGGGAGTGATCTGTAGCGGTAAATAAATCCCCAAAATAAATAGCACTAAGTTTTCGACATTGGATGCTGACCATATGTTTTAGTGGACTCACCTAGCTGAAGGCGCTCGGTCAGTCATCCGCACCAGATCACGTGTGGTAACGCCGTGCTCAACATCAACCGCGATCGCTAGCCAGATTAGATCAGAGAATTCCGATATATTGGTCGTCGCCAAATATACTCTTCCGATCCCCTCGACTCTGTCTTTTGATTTCTCTGGGCGGGTACGAAATACGTTAGAAGGTGTTACCGGTAGAAGCATTGTCAAACACTGAATACCTGTGACATTTTCAACACTCTTACGCGTAACACCTTTATGATCCAAGGATAACAGCCAAGTCAGAAGTAAATAATGAGTGTATTCGAAGGTTTATTTGGAAAGTTACTGACATATTGAGACTCATCTGAACTAACTGGCGATGCGTAACACGCAGTACTCAATCGTGATCTAATGCTAATCTGTGACCGAGCACATTCAGCTAGGGTGTACAACAAAAATTAATGAGATCAGGATCAGTGTTGAGGACGTTTGAAACTATTTATTTTGGGGATTTATTTACCGCTACACTGGTATTAGAACTGACGTCAATGTTAGAGTTTCAAAACTATAGACTTCATGCTTAACGATATTTTCACGCAATATTTTACAAATGTTGACAGTATCAGTTCTATATATAGCTCGTTTTAAGATATGAAGTCATGTATTTTGAGAGTAAGATATTGAAATCATCAATTTGCGACCAACAAAGGGGCGGGTTATTTGAGTATTTCTCCGCATTAGGATTTACGTTATATTAGAAGTCGTTGCAACTTATTAGTCACACTTAAGCTTCAGTTTCAACATGTCTGGACAGGGAGATCGTTTTAACATATTTCCATCTCGGATGTTAGTTCTTTTATTTGCCCGACGCAATTTTCTCTCCCCATAATAAAATAGGGCGCAAACAGCCATGAAAGGAAGACTTAAAGGTGCTCAGAAAGGCCATAGACTGCTAAAACGAAAAGCAGATGCTTTAACCGTTCGTTTCCGTAGTATATTGAAGCAAATAATACAGGTAATTCATCAATTGTTTACTAAAAGGTATAGGCGAAACAAGCAATGGGCGAAGTTATGAAAGAGGCTAATTTCTCACTTGCTAGTGTTAAGTTCACAACAGCAGCAAATATTAACAGCCTAGTACTGCAGAACGTAACTAAGGCCCAAAGAAAAGTCAAGACAGATAAGGAAAATGTCGCAGGTTGGAACATTAAAAACCACTTTACTTTCCAGGTGTGCAGTTACCGGTATTCAAAGTCGTTGTGGAGGGATCTGACAGTAAGTTTGAACTTCGTGCGAAATTGTGTGAATCTTCGTACTGATAAACTAGGTCTTGCAATCGCAGAGTTTGTGGTTTTGATACCATTATATATTAATGTTCTCCAATACTGAGTTGATATTATCACACACATTGATTAGTTTTAACGTGATTGTACAAGCTTATATGTACATTTGTAAGTATATTGTGTCCCATGATAGCTTAAATGTTTCGGTTTCTATGGACATGGTAAGATAGTGGATAGTAGTCTAGTCTTAGTAATTGAATTGACTGGGATCTTAGCTGGTATCTGGAACTGCACGTAATACCACCTAACTTGTCTCAACTCCTGATCTTCCCGTCCCATAAAGAAGGACAAAAATCCTTTTATAATGACTATAGATGGGTCGGTATGACCAACATATCAAAAGTTTTAGCTTCGATGACCATCAGACTTCTAACCATGACTCGTAAAGAATTAACCCGGAAAAGCGAGCTTGGTTTCTAAATTGGACATGGATGTGGCACAAATGTTTTCTGTGATTGGACACCATGAGATGTTAGATTATGAGAACCAATCAATAGAATGTTAATCGATAGGTAAACCCATATAATATTGTATGGACGAGTGATGAACCTATGATTGATTTGAGCCATTAAACGATTAGAAATCATGATAAGACCGCTAACCGAATGAATAGTTTCTCATGCAATAAAATGACACGCTCATCTAAAGTATATGAGCATAATAAAAAATCTAGAAGTTTGGAGAAAATTAGTTTCCAGGTCAGTCATTCCCCCAATCAATTAAGACCTGACTGATAGCCCTAATCTTTGGACATCGTATCAGTATGTCGACCAAACATTAATCCTTCGATACTCTACGAAACATGGACATACTTCATGATGTCCAACTGTAGTTATATATTCCTTGACCTTAGAACATCGTTGGACTCTGTTGATTCAGAGGTTCTGTGACAGTGTTTGCTATCAAAAAGTACACTAAAGTAAAGTATATCAATGTTGTACAGCATCTCTGCTCAAACATTTCCGGTCGAGTTAAGGCTCATGGCAAGCTGTCGTAAGAAGTGCCAACTACATATAGGGTGTTCTTCAGTTACTCAGTTCATTTTCATTGAACTTCGTCATAGATATTCTTTCAGATATAATTCTTTTGTACTATCCCGATCGAAGCTGCTACCTTGACGCGGTGGTCGGGCTTGCCTATCGTGATGACCCAACCGAGCTATATTGGCTGGAACATATGTTCCTGCAGGTTCTACCATGCCAGGCAGGTCGATTGGCGAACGGTAAGACTAAAAGCAGCAACTCAAGGTCTGAGGGCGAAGTCGTACTGCTGACTGTAGAGAGGTGTGACAGCAGTAAGGTGTTTCCCTCGGATAACCAGCATGACAGCGATGCTGCCTTCCCACAAGGAGGGGTGGGGTTAGAAAAGGTCGACCCTAAAAATGCACACCTCACCTTACCTCACGGATTTCCGTCTCCGGCGGTAAGGCCCCTTGAAGAACGGAGCTAACACGTCAAAAACCTTCCACAAAAAGGCCGTGCGCGACCGGCCTCAAGCAGTTGTCCCTTGGGCTCTGCGGTCACGCTCCCAGGTCGTCAAGACCAGCACTAATCCAATTTCCTTTTCAGGTTCATCAAGAAATACCCTTCCACTGTGTGGGCAGCCGGGAAGTGACATCAGCCCTCATACCCGTAACAGCACACGAGACAAAGTTGGTCACATTCAAATCCTTCCTACACCTCCTAATACCTCTCTTATCCTCCCGACTAACCCTCCTCACGTCTCTTTATCACCTCGCACCGCTAGGGCAAACGGTTCGAGTATGTGGAACGCCATTCCTGGTCTCCTGAAACCACGCTCTAAACTACACGTAGGAGCTTTTAACGTACGAACACTTTGCCAAATAGGACAGCAGGCTTCCTTAGCTAAAACTTTAGAATCTCGCGCCATCGATGTGTGTTGCGTCTCCGAAACGCGCATACAGGATCCAAGTAGCGTCATTCATTTGACCTCACCATGCCAAAATAAAGAACCGACTCGATTTACGCTTCGTGTATCTGGAAGCCCTGATTCTGCTTCCCGTGGCCTCGCCGGCGTAGGTATAGCATTGAGTCCTAGGGCAGAACTAGCTCTCTTAGAGTGGATCCCAGTAGACAGTCGTTTGTGCGCTGTCCGACTAAACGGAACAGTGAGGATCCGAAAAGGTAGGGACACTCGTCGTTGCCTCTTCGTCGTCTCTGCCTATTCTCCCACTGACTGCAGCTCAGATGATGTAAAAGATGAGTTTTACAGAAAGCTTTCGGACCTTCTCCGAAAAGCTAAGCGCTCGGATGTAGTAATAGTGGCCGGTGACTTTAATGCTCAAGTAGGTAAACTAAGCGATAAGGAAAGACACCTAGGTGGATCCTATGGTGTCGTGGCTCAAAGAACAGATAATGGCGACCGTCTGTTGCAGCTATGCTCAGATAACCGCCTGTTCCTTGCAAATACTAACTTTAAGCATAAGGAAAAACATCTTTTGACATGGCGACCCCCTAATTCGTCCCAACGTTGGACCCAAATAGATCACATGGCTATCAGCCACCGCTGGAGGGGCTCGATAGAAGACTGTCGCTCATTCTGGAGCACATGCCTAGATTCAGATCATGCTCTAGTGCGAGCGCGTATTTGCTTGCGTCTTACTGGACGTAGGAAAGATCCTGCAAGGAAACCTCCTAGGGCCTACTTAATGATAGTCAAGCTAAGAATATATTTCAGGAACAACTAGGAAAACAGTTAGGCAGCCATGTATGTGATGCCCACCCCGAGGCAGCATGGAACGATATCCGAAAAGCTGTGGAAACAGCAGTGATATCTGCTAGTAAGGTAAACCGTAAAGTTAGGGAGCAACACTGGATCTCAGCAGCATCTATCGCACTGATAGATGCTCGAAAACTCATTCCACCTGGCTCTGAACATAATGAAGAGCGGAGTCAGCTTAAGCGCAAGCTGACAAGAAGTCTACGCAATGATCGTGAACAGTGGTGGGTAGCGAAAGCAAGAGAGATGGAAAAGGCAGCGGCAATAGGTAATAGCAGACAATTGTTTAGACTCGTTAAGGAAACCGGAATTAGGAACCCGACCGTTAGCGAAACAATCTCAGAGAAAGATGGACATATTATTCATTCTCAATCCAGGAGATTGGATCGATGGGCAGAACACTTTAGGGATCAGTTCAACTGGCATTCAGCCACACTTCGGTTTCCCACGATCTCCAGTCAACCTGAATGGCAAGTTAATCTAGGTCCTCCGTCCCTTTACGAAGTTGAAAAAGCCATAGGAAATCTGAAACGAGGGAGAGCAGCAGGCCCTGACAGGTTTACTCCTGAGATTTTTAAGGATGGTGGTCCAGTATTAGCAATGAGATTAACTGAGGTCTTAGGTAGAATTTGGGAACTGGACGTAATCCCATCTGACTGGTCTCAATCACTGATTGTGCCAGTTTTTAAGAAAGGACAAAAGTCCTCTTGTGACAATCACAGAGGAATCAGTTTGACTAATATAGTGTCTAAAATATAAGCCTCAATAATACTTCGACGCCTAACTAAAGCTCGTGAAGAGCAGACTAGAGAAAACCAGGCTGGTTTTCGACCTGGACGTGGTTGTATAGATCAGATATTCACACTACGTCAGGTTCTAGAACACAGACACACATTCAGACGCCCCACAATGGTAGTATTTCTCGACCTTAAGGCGGCATTCGACTCCGTTGATCGTGAGGTTCTATGGCAGTGTTTGTCACTGAAAGGAGTACCAAAGAAGTACATTAACCTTATAAAGGCTCTCTACTCGAACACAACTGGTAGAGTGAGAGCTTATGGCGAACTGTCATCAGAATTGATTACCTCAAGTGGTGTTCGTCAGGGCTGTCCACTCTCCCCATTCTTGTTCAACTTTGTCATTGACGTACTTTTAGAGATAACACTCTCCTCATCTAAATTTCCAGGGGTTGAACTTGTACCGGGAGGTTCACTTGTTGACTTAGAATATGCAGATGACATAGTTTTATTTGGTGAAGACGCTGACAAAATGCAGAGTCTTCTGACCACTCTAAGCAACAATGCAAACATGTTCGGGATGCGATTCTCCCCCTCGAAATGCAAAATGTTGCTTCAGGATTGGGTTACATCGACACCCGAACTAGTGATAGGGAGTGAAGTAGTTGAGTGTGTCGACCGCTTCACTTATCTTGGGAGTTCCATCAGCCCTTGTGGTTTGGTGTGTGACGAAATCTCAGCACGGATACAGAAGGCTCGACTAGCTTTTGCCAACTTGCGTCATTTCTAACATAGGTGAGATATCCGTCGAACAACCAAAGGACGTGTTTACTGCGCAGCAGTTCGTTCCGTCCTACTTTATGGCAGTGAAACATGGCCGGTAAGAGTAGAGGATATCCGTAGGTTACTAGTATTTGATCATAGGTGTCTTCGAAACATTGCTCGTATATCATGGGACCATCGAGTAAGTAACACAGTTGTTAGGACACGGGTACTAGGTAAGGATGGCAAATCAATTGATGACGTAGTGAAACTTCATCAGTTGAGATGGCTGGGACACGTGTTACGTATGCCCAACCACCGACTGCCTCGACGTGCTATGTTCAGTGGTATAGGAGTAGGTTGGAAGAAAGCTAGGGGCGGCCAAACCAAAACATGGCACAAGTCCATGAAGTCACTGACAAGTGAACTGAGTCATATTGGTAGGTGTAGACTACCTGGTTGGGGACCGCGAGATGACAGCAACCGATAGTTAGAGACCCTGAATGACATGGCTCAAAATCGTTTGCAATGGCGCAGGTGCATCCACTCTCTGTGTTCTCCCAAACTCTAATCTTCTGAATTCTTCATGTCCCTTTTTTCCTCTTTCCAAATTTCTTTCACTGGATTATACTCTTTAAATAACATCTCCAAACCCTAATATTCCCGATTACTGCTTATACTCTTATTACCTCTATCACTACGGGATTTGAATCGACAAGTGCATCTCTGTGCTAATGTGGTGTGGCAACTCGAACTGATGTACGTTCGTACGAAGTTCTACGTTGTTACTGACTGACTGACTTTTGTACTATAACTTTTCGGGAATTGATTTATTTGATTTGTCCGGTGACTTACAGTACGTAAGCGAAATTGTTCTGCTTGATAAAAGTGCTGAAGAAATTCGATCTTTTAACCACCCTAATAAACAATGAATTCCTTTTCACTTAAATGCAAATTTCGCTTCATGACTAATTTGCCTCATTGCCTAAACTAATGATAAGGAGTGAAGCAAATTAGTTTACTAATCCACTCCACTTATCCCTGAATTCTCGCTAACCTTGGTTGAGTGGTGCCTGATGAAACCTCGATATTGACCCAGACTTTTAGTAACTTGTGTTACTGGTGACGTAGGCGATGTATACGTCTACCAATCAAAGGACAAGTATACTGCGCAGTAGTTCTCTCTGTTCTGATTTGTGGATATGAAACAACCATTGAGAACAAGGGATATTTGTTGACTACTGTTGTTTGATCATTGATTCATTCGAGCATTAGAATATAATGTAGGTTTTACCTAGGTTTCATCACAAAGACTATAGGTTATAAGTCTATCTATACCTCATATAGTCTGAAAACACTATTGTCTTAGTCCGATTTTGTCAAAGCAGTCCTATGATGGTATATTTTACTTATCCTTTGGCGTGAACTGTGTACTTAAATTAGGTTTAACCGTAGTGTTCTTTTTTTGAGAAATCTAAATATTTTATATCAAATACGTTTGATATGTAGTGCTTATTTACTAATTTGTTTGTTTTTTCCACTGTCCTGTAGCATATGAACTGACAGGTTTAGCTGGTGGTGGTCAACAAATCGACCGACTAAAAAAGAACTACAGCAAAGCTGTTGATTTATTAGTTGACTTAGCATCTCTTCAAACGTCTTTCATTACTCTAGACGATATCATAAAAGCAACTAATCGTCGAGTGAATGCTATTGAATTTGGTAAACACATTTTACTCGTCAGATTTTCCTATGTTTGAGTCATATTTGTTACACATTGATGTTTCGTCGTAAAATTACTTTTCGAGGTGTAGTTGAATGGTTTATTTATCGTTTAACTAAAAACAAGGATCGTTACATTAATCAGAAAATGAGTCCATATCATTTTAATCACAAAAACATAAAAAATTGTAGTATATTAGTAGCAGTCGGGAAGACGGAGAGCGCTACACGGAAGATGCATCAGAAAGCGTTTATTACTCTTTGGTTTTCGTCCTCTCAGCTTTGTATTTAGAGGTTGAGAAATTCTCAGGATTGGTAATTGCTTTTGGCGCATTAGTTGTTTCTGAGTTGTCAGCAAAGTGTTCAGTTTGCGTGCGCTTGATGTGTTACATTTAAAACAATTACAAACCGCCTGATAATCAGTCAGTTGGGTAGAAACATTTTTATTAAGGATAGAACGATATTACACGCACCTATTTGTTGTGTATCTCATCTTTTACATTCCAGCATACACTAAGAACTCTTAATCAACATATACTGATTATTCTTCTACTGTAACTCACGTTTGACAGTGTAACTTATTTCTGCGAAGTATTATTGTATATTAAACTATATATATACTGGGTGTAGATTACTGACTGGAATCAACTTAATGACCCAAAGATAAAAAATAAGTGTTTAAAAACATGGCAAAACATTTTCCAGAATAGCAATTACGTACTAACTATTTAGCGCAAAATCGTACACAATCAAATTACGAAGTTCGAGATATTCTTAAAGTTTCTTTCAGTAAGCTGCATCTTGAAATTCAAATCTCAGCTTCTGTAGGCAACAAACATTGGCATTGAGGAGTTCGAAATACTTGTAAGTAGTCCCCATATTTCTTTCTTCAGTTTTTAGCTCTGAATATATTAAGTTCCTTGAGATATTTTGTTATGAACAGTCATTTTGTCTTCGTTAACATGGAACTAACATCCCGTTTAGGTTTAGTAGACTATGTGTTATCGTCTAGATCTAATGCAGTTGAGTGATTTATTCATCAAAAACCTGAGCTTTAACAGACAAACTAGATAATTGCTCATACTTTCGATAATTCTTTGTAATATTGATCACTGCTCTATCATATTACGATCACTATATATTTTGTTGCATGTATTTTTCGCTAAAATGTATGTAGTTATGGAATTAATTCAGTATTTTCCCTTATATTTAGTATTTTGACATCTATTTTAGTTATCATACCGAAAATTGAACGTACATTGAACTATATCACACAAGAACTGGATGAACGCGAAAGAGAAGAATTTTTTAGGTTAGCTTCATCAGACCTATCATTACAGTTCATATTTGAATTACATATTTTGAACTTTGTGTTGTACTTATGCGTTTGTCGATGCTTGTTTAAGGTTTTAAGTTATTGATGAATATGTAAGCTGAGTAAATAAGTTTGTTAGCCCAAAATAATCATCCTGATATATCTTCTAATACTCAATAGTTGTGTTTAACTTATTTGATATATTTTGTATGCAAAATAGTGAATTTCACTTTTACATATCCTACTTTGAGAGACGATATAAACTCACAAATATGCACACTACGTAATGGGACAGGAAAAGGGTATAACTGAGCAAGATGCGGGCTTAAACTATCGAAGTCTATGGAGAAATAAATGAAATAATGCCAAATTTAAAGGTAAATTTTGAAAAAATGGTGAATGTATATTGGCTGTTATAGTCGATTTCGAGCATTGTACATTCCGTCGTGAATGATCATCTATTCAATTTAGTTAGATAGGATTATCACGTATTGATACATGTGTTTGAGCAGTGGTAAAAACACTCCACTTTTAACAGTTAGCAAGTTCAAACTCCTATCAACCTTCTTCGGTTCGAGCCACAGCATACAATCGATGGCTGTCACACTACAGCATGGCTCGAAGTAGAATAAATTAGTCTTTTTTTTCTGTTAATGATGCTCAATTCAATAGTGTAATCCTCAAGTGTCAGCTAGACATATATCAAAAGATTTGATTGATTGCAATTAAAATAATCTATACAAGCCTAGCTTATTTCAACCTGGCATACGATTTTTTACTCTGTATCAGGAAAAAAACCCATATATTCTCAAAAAAAAAGTAGTATTGTGTTGTAAACGTAAAATCATAAGTTAGTCAGCCTGCAAGAACGTAAAACTTCGTACGTTCGTACATCAGTTCGAGTTTTCGTACCATATTAGCACACAGATACAATCGTCGATTCAAATCCCATAGTGGTAGAGCTAGTAAAAGTATAAGCAGTAATCGGATATATTAGGGTTTGAAGATGTTAGTCAAGGAGTATAATCTAGTGAAATAAGCTTGGAAAGAGAAAAAAAGGGACATGAAGAATTCAGAAGATTAGAATTTGGGAGGACACAAAGAGTGGATGCACCTGCACCATTGCAAACGATTTTGAGCCATGTCATTCAGGGTCTCTAACTATCGGTTGCTATCATCTCGCGGTCCCCAACCAGGTAGTCTACACCTATCGACATGACTCAGACCACTTGTCAGTGACTTCATGGACTTGTGCCATGTTTTGGTCTGGCCGCCCCTAGCTTTCTTCCAACCTACTCCTATACCACTGAACATCGCACGTCGAGGCAGTCGGTGGTTGGGCATACGTAATAAGTGTTCCAGCCATCTCAACTGATGATGTTTCACTACGTCATCAATTGATTTGCCATCCTTACCTAGTACCCGTGTCCTAACAACTGTGTTACTTACTCGATGGTCCCAGGATATACGAGCAATGTTTCGAAGACACCTATGATCGAATACTAGTAGTCTACGAATATCCTCTACTCTTACAGGCCATGTTTCACAGCCATAAAGTAGGATAGAACGAACTGCTGCGCAGTAAACATGTCCTTTGGTTGTTCGACGGATATCTCACCTACGTTACAAATGACGTCATTTGGCAAAAGCTAAACGAGCCTTCTGTATCCGTGCTGAGATTTCGTCACAAACCAGACCACAGGGGCTGATGGAACTCCCAAGATAAGTGAAACGGTCGACACGCTGAACTATTTCACTCCCTATCATTAGTTCGGTTGTCGATGCAACCCAATCCTGAAGCAAAATTTTGCATTTCGAGGGGGAGAATCGCATCCCGAACATGTTTGCATTGTTGCTTAAAGTTGTCAGAAGACTCTGCATTTTGTCAGCGTCTTCACCAAATAGAAATATGTCATCGGTATATTGTAAGTCAACAAGTGAATCTCCCGGTAAAAGTTCAACCCCTGGAAATTTAGATGAGGAGAGTGTTATCTCTAAAAGTACGTCAACGACAAAGTTAGACAAGAATGGAGAGAGTGGACAGCCCTGACGAACACTACTTGAGGTAGTCAATTCTGATGACAGTTCGCCATAAGCTCTCGCTCGGCCACTTGTGTTGAAGTAGAGAGCCCGTATAAGGTTAATGTACTTCCTTGGTACTCCTTTCAGTGTCAGACACTGCCACAGAACCTCACTATCGACAGAGTCAAATGTTACCTTAAGGTCGAGAAATACTACGATTGTGGGGCGTCTGAATGTGTGTCTATGTTCTAGGACCTGACGTAGTGTAAATATCTAGTCTATACAATCATGTGCAGGTCGAAGACCAGCCTGAGTTTCTCTAGTCTGCTGTTCACGAGCTTTAGTTAGACGTCGATGTATTACTGAAGCTAATATTTTAGACACTATTTTAGTCAAACTGATTCTTCTGTGGTTTTCACAAGAGGACTTTTTTCCTTTCTTGTAGACTGGCACAATCAAAAGTACTTAAAGCGATTGTATATGATACAAAAAACGTTTAAATCCAGCTATACATAGTCTGTTAAAGTTGTTCATTGACTGAAATTAGGCTTGTCTATATTATTAAACCTAGTACTAGTTAAAAAGTTAAAAATATTAAATCATCTAAATGTTACGTTTTTCTCGTCGATATCTTTGGTACTGGCCGACTTTTCCCAAACCCTTGTAAATTTACTTTCCCCCCTAACTTAAGTCCTTGTTCTCCCACTACATGCTCCTAAAGAACTCCGAATTTCATTCCTTATGAGTAATAAAACGAGTCTTGGTTTGCACAACAGATTCATGCGAAAATTCCGGTGCGATTAGACTATTTAACCATATTTTTATTATTACTAGTAGGCAAGTGACTAGAAAACATTTTGAGCACTAAAGGAACCAGTCTGTTATTTCCAGCAATTATTAATTAACAATAAAATGGTCCCTAGGAATCTGTTCATAGTGATTGTACTGAATATATTGTGGTTGTTAGTTATACAAATCAATATGTAACTGAAAATTTCATGTAAATAGAGAGTGTAGAAAAATTGTTGTAGAGAATGTAAAACACTAAGGTAATATTTGTTGCAGTGATAATGATATTTCCTTTTACAGTGTCTTTCTGAATTAACATTGTTTCATTAGTTTCCAGTACACTTCATTTGTATGTTTAAAATTGATCACTTGAGTAGATTCGTTTACCTTTTAGTCAATGAAGTGAATGTATTTTTTTAATTCACACGTGTGTTGCATACTAGATTGAAAAAAGTTCAAGAGAAGAAAAAACGTAATCGTGCCCTTAAAGAATTAGAATTGAAATCTAAAGGATTTGAACTAGCCTCAGCTGACCATGCTCCAAATATTTTGAACGAAGATGAAAATGAAGGACAAATTCTCTTTTAATTTATGTAACATATTTTGTTACATTATTGAAGCCGACGGGTTATATATTTATTTACAATCGGTTGATTCCGACTAAATATTGCATAATATAATTTGTATACTTTAAGAAGTAGCTAACTTCTCATCGCATGCATATACATATGTTTTCTCTTGAATTAGTTGTATTAACATATTACTTTATTGTTTAAAATTTTGATAATTTATGATGAATATAATTTGGTTTGTTTCAAGCAATAGTATTTTTTGAGTGAACAGTGACGTAATCAAATAAACACTTAATTAATGTTTTGTTTTTTTTCATAAGTGGGGTATTCTACTACAATTTCAAGTACTTTCCTTCTAGGAGTTATGTATTCGTAAGCCTCTTATATACTAATGCATTGAATGGGACATTGCTGTTAGGCCTTTAACTAATAGCAAAAATCCGTAATTACCTTCATGTCAGGCTAGTCGACAAGTCAAGGCGGGATCATTTCTAACGGAATTGTTAAGTAAGAAGTAACTACATATTGTTGATCTACTTGTTGGTCTTTACGCATTGTGTTCGCAGTCCACCTGTACGAAGTTCCAAGTATCCATCATTTAGGGAGAAACTGGAAATTCACTGTTATCGATTAAATTATTTTTAAAACTTACTATTAGTCGTTAATTCTGGTTTCACAACAAAATTAACAGCGTACCATACTGTTTAGTGACGAATATCACATTCAAGCTCAAAATAAAAATGTTTGTATAAGACCATGATCAGAATTCAAATATGAGCTCCAGAAGTAGTCATAGTCTTTCCCGATCTGTTTCAATGACATTTAGTGAGAACATCGTGTTGTCGACCAATAATTGATGGTAATAGTCTCTGGATCCAATGTTATCTTTAATTCTATAGTTCATAGTCGCGAAATTAATTATATTTGACCGCATATTTGCAGCACTAATTACTTTGATTAAGTGAGATTGTATAAGTGCCAACTAGTTGTCTTCATGTAGATCTTAACTGGACAGTTGTTACGCCCTAAATTGGGACTTCAGTAGTGTACACCACACCTTAGATCGAACCAAAGCTCTTTAGATCTGCTACTGATCTGGATTACAATATACATTCCCAATTTTGATAAGCCCGTTAACCATTTAGAGCTATTAGTGACTACTGTTTCACTGTACTGTATGGTTGGACTCGGCCTGTCTCTACTTTCCAATAAAACTTCAGGAACTCATCTGTAAATGAATAATTAGTAGGCTCAATATTGTAGTTATTACGTGGGAGTTTAGCGAAGATTTATCTAGTCGGAGTCTAGCTTCTACACAAGGCTTGGAAGTACTGGTTTCGATACCTGGCGAGGTCTTTTGCAATGGCTTCTTAGCAATCTGGATTTAGGATAAGACACCCTATTAGGTAGTGGGAATTTGGTACTTCTACAAATGCACTTCCGAATTCAACTCAAGTTTAAAACCCTGAGTGATGCTCATTGTCGATGGATTTTCGTACATCTTATTTTTACATCAGGAACGCAGGATCATTCGTTTAATCCACAAATTACCCTTATGTATTTTCGAAATAATTGCTTGCCGTAGTTTGTCGGTAATGATTTCTAAATTGTCAAATGTAAGTAAAATCCTATTGTTTTATGAAAAACTGGACTGTATATGCGAGTGGTTTTTGTTTGGTTAGCTAAATAGAATTAAATCTTTTACCTCTCGCAAATCAAACTTAGATTTTCTCGTGAAGACATGCTTATAATTAAGGTAGTAACCGATTATAGATTTCAAACGCTTTGCCTTCAGTGGCTTAAATCTCACTCTGTTTGGTCAGCTTGGTATTATCGACGAGGCTCATACAATTCATTGTTCAATGCTGAGTGTACAAAGTTGTACTTGCCACAGTAATGACATCCAAAAAGAGTATACAACACTTCCTTTTGACTTTAAATTCCTTTTTTGTTTGGTAATATATCACATGTCATAAACCATACAGTGTGATTTAAACTACAAACTCATCTTCATTTTCAAGAAATTACGAATGGACAAAGTCATAGCAGTTAGAAAATCTTAAAATTCATAAAAATGTGTTTGATTTACTGTAATCATTTCTGCTGTTTTTTATGACGATTTTGGTGAATTCATACAATAGCAGATAAAAAGCTTATAACGTTTTTGCTTTCCAATAATTCATCAGAGCAAAAAAATGTTTATCATTAATTGGCAGGTTAATATCACAAGAATGTATTTGTATGCAGGTAGAAGTCAATAAGATTACTATAAGTAAGCTCATTAATGATATAACCTGGTACAATCAGTGTAAAATATACTCATTGCTAGTACCTTGTTTCATATCTTATATTTCAGTTCACTAATATTAGATAATTGGTATCAATTGTTGAATATCAATCCAGCTAAACAGTTATTACATAAAGATTTCATTAACATAAAATTAATCTGTCAAAAAGAAATGAAATATCAAAATACAATAAATTAGCATTAACAATAAACAATTTTGATTTATCAAAGCATATCAATGATTTTCTGTCATTTTTAAACCACATAAGAAGCTGTGCATTAATCACATATAATCATTGGCTATAAGTTAGAGCTACATGTAACTGATTGCATAGTTACTTGTATTTCTCAATATTCAGTGAATGTCAAATTTTCATATTGTTTTCTTTCTTTCTTTCGGGTTTATTAATAATCAAAAATAATAACATTGGTTTGATTAGTTAGTTGTTAATTAAACTTACCAAAAGATTAAACAAGTAGATATGTTTCTATGTTTATAATGATAAGATACTAAACAAATTTGTAAAGCTTCTTTCATTTATAGTTTGAAGTTGAAATTGTTAAAAATTACAATTATGAATAAACTTTAGAAGCTTTAGGGTAGTAGATAGTTTTGTATCAGCTTTGAAAAGTAAACTCATGTCGTCAGTCTTATTAAATTTTGTTACTCAGTTTTACAATGATCTATTTTTATGACGGATGTATCATTGAATTTTAAAAATGATATAAAATTAATGCTGTACTTGAGATGAGTAAAAATGGATTAGAGTAAATATTAACAATTTTGTAAATGAACTAAGGATATGTAAATGTATTTTTCACTTCACTTCCTTTACGCCTGTTACTCCTCGTCGAGGAGCGTAGGCCGCCCACCGGCATTCTCCATCCAAGCCTGCCCTGGACAATCCTTTCCGGTTGTTATTCATCCTTTTCATATCTGCTTCCCGACGTAATGTGTTCTTTGGCCGTCCTCTTTTTCGCCTTCCTTCAGGATTCCAAGTTAGGGCTTGTCTCGTGATGCAGTTTGACGATTTGCGTAATGTATGTCCTATCCATTTCCATTGTCTTTTCCTAATTTCTTCTTCAGCTGGAAGTTGGTTTGTTCTCTCCCACAGAAGGCTATTGCTGATGGTATCCGATTAATGGATGTTGAGTATCTTGCGTAGACAGCTATTTATAAATACTTGTACTTTCTTGATTGTGGTTGTTGTAGTTGTCCAAGTTTCAGCTCCATACAGTAGAACTGCCTTGACGTTCGTATTGAAGATTCTCACTTTGATATTGGTTGAAAGTTGTTTTGAGTTCCATATGTTCTTCAATTGTAGGAATGCGACCCTTGCTTTGCCAATCCTCGCCTTTACGTCTGCATCTGAACCTCCTTGTTCATCGATCATGCTTCCCAGGTATGTGAAGGATTCTACATCTTCCAGAGTTTCGCCATCAAGTGTGATTGGATTGCTGTTCTCCGTGTTGAATTTGAGGACCTTAGTTTTCCCTTTGTGTATGCTGAGGCCTACTAATGCAGAGACTGCTGCTACACTGGCTGTCTTCATCTGCATCTGTTCGTGTGTACGTGATAGGAGGGCTAGGTCATCTGCGAAGTCCAAATCGTCTAATTGGTTCTGAACTGTCCATTGTATTCCGTGTTTTCCTTCAGATGTTGAGGTCTTCATAATCCAGTCGACCACCAGAAGAAAGAGGAAGGGAGAGAGTAAACAGCCTTGTCTGACTCCGGTCCTTACTTGGAATGCATCTGTCAGCTGTCCTCCATGCACGACTTTGCACTGTAGTCCGTCGTATGAGTTCCGGATAATGTTGACAATCTTCTCAGGAACTCACTCCACAGTGTCGAAGAAGTTTCCATAATGTCCTCCTATCTACACTGTCGAATGCCTTTTCATAATCAATGAAGTTGATGTATAGTGATGAGTTCCACTCAACTGATTGTTCAACGATGATCCGTAGTGTTGCAATTTGGTCTGTGCACGACCGATCCTTACGGAATCCAGCTTGTTGATCTCGAAGTTTGGCGTCTACTGAATCTTTCATCCGGTTCAGCAACACTCTGTTAAGGACGTTCCCAGGTACTGACAGTAGTGTAATGCCTCTATAGTTTTCACATTTGCTCAGATATCCTTTCTTTGGAATCTTGACGAGGTGCCCTTCTTTCCAGTCCATCGGCACTTGTTCCTCCTCCCAAATCTTTTTGAATAGAAGGTAAAGCATGTTTATAGTTACTTCGATGTCTGACTTCAGTGCTTCAGCTGGTATGTTGTCGGGTCCTGCTGCCTGCCTTCTTTGTCCTTGATTGGTCTCTCTGGTTTACTGTATTTCCCTGATAGTTTCTTCGTTGTATCATAAAGTTGTTTCATATTTCCTTCCCTTGCAGCTTTTTCCACCGTCGTCAATAGTTCTTCCACGTATTTCTGCTTGTCGGCTCTAATGCTGTTCTTCACTTGCTCGTTTGCTTCTATGTATTCAGCTTGTGCTTGAACTTTCTCTGCTCGTGTTCGGCTGTTGTTAATTGCTGTCTTCTTGTTCTTCCTTCCTTTGATCCTGTCCAGTGTTTCTGTAGAGATCCATTCCTTATGATGGTATTTCTTTAGACCGAGAACCTCTTGACACGTCGAAGTCAATGCTTCTTTGATACCTTTCCAGTTGTCCTCTATAGTAGTTTCTTCTTCCTTCAGTAGATCCTGTAAGGCTTGGAACCTTTTGTTGAGAGCTATCTTGAATTCATTGAGTTTGACAGTATCTTGAAGGAAGGCTGTATTGAACCTTTGTAGTGCTGTTTGTCCAGTTGTCCAGTTCTTCTTTAGCTTCAGTTTTAAATTGGCTGCAACTAGGTGGTGATCTGAAGCTATGTCAGCTCCTCTCCTGCTTCTCACATCTTCCATTGTCCTTTGGAACATTTTATTGATGCAAATATGATCTATCTGGTTCTCTATGGTGTAGTCCGGTGAGATCCATGTAGCTTTGTATATACGTTTGTGTGGAAATACTGCGCCGCCTATGACCAATTTGTAGAATGCACACAGATTTGCAAATCTTTCCCCATCTTCGTTTCTCTCTCCCAGTCAGTCCATGTCGTCCCATGATATCTTCATATTCGATGTTGTTTATTCCGACTTTGGCGTTTAGATCTCCCATCAGAATGATGAAGTCGTTTCTTGGGCACTTCTCTATGGTTGATTGCAGCCTCTCATAGAATTGATCTTTAATGTCGTCATTGCTATCATTGATGGGTGCATAACATTGGATAATATTCATTGTGATCCCCTCTTTCTTTGTTTTGAATGATGCTTTGATGATTCTGGATCCGTCAGATTCCCATCCTACAAGTGTATTTCGTGCCACTTTGGACAGCATTAGAGCAACTCCCTGAGTGTGTGGAGTATTTTCCTCTTCGTGACCGGAGTATAGCAGCATCTTTGTTGTCCAGCTTGAGTCCAATGGGTTTCGCTGATTTCCAGTACTGCCATGTTGTATCTCATCATTTCCGTCGTTATTTGACTGGTCTTTCCGGTCTCCCACATTGTCCGGCCGTTCCATGTACCTATAAAAATTTTTGCTCTGGTCGTTAGAAAGGGCATCGGCCTCGTGGGTTTCAAAGGAACTCGGCTTTCACCATGAGACGTCATAGTTCTTCTAAATGAAGACCTAACTCCCAGGGCGGAGTTTAAATGGTTTGAATTATTTTTACTGGTTAGCGTTTTTTAGCGACTTGGTTTTCTGCGGGATGGGGTCGCTAAACTCATGCCCAACCCTCCTTCTTTACTCGCGCATAGGACCGGTAGTAACTCTAGACGAGCTACAGGCGGAGTTAAATGTATTTTTGCCTAATCTTAGTAGTTTTACACAGTTTGAAAGATGACGATTTAAAATTATCTTCACCTGAAAGACATATTATTAAATATAATTTACAGATAGATATTTCTAAGATGATTTTCTTCACCGACGGATAACAGCATGGGTTGTTGAACACTATAGTGATCATTTATGATTCATCTATGATAAACAAATTTGTTTAGACATTAAATCTTTGAGTTTGACTGTGAGCACGACTACTGATTCAAATTCTAATGATTACCATTTGTAACCAAAGTTTATTCGTGTTATGGGGAGTGGATACCTGTTCTATGAAACAAATGTGGATGGTGAAATTCACTTAACAGTGACACTGAATGGAAACCATATATAAATTGTTCGAATCTTTACAGAATCATATATGAAAAACAAATATTTCTCTTAAGAATATATTATACTGCCACCGAATATGATGATGATAGACTCTATTCCAAATAGTGATATCACTGAGCGTTTGATTGAATTGCACTCGGTAAAACCTAACTAGGATCGTGAATATCCGGATCCAATCAGTAATTAAGGTTGTGCAGTAAACCTGAAGTGACAGATGAATGGAAATTTCATTTACTATATAATTGATCGAACCAAACTAAGTAGAATTAGGTTCGAAATCTCAATTTTCCAATACATTTGTTTACGTAAGAAACATTGAGACACACATCAATCAATGAATTATCACTTCCCAAGTTTAAAATGTTTAGATATCACTCAGAAATCAACTGTTTATATGTAATCGTAAAAATTTACTAAGTTTTACATTCTCAACAAAATTTCATCGTTGACATTATTCAAAATAGCACCTTAGACTATACCAGAATACACAGCATCTAATTTTTTGACAACTTTTAGTCGAAAATATGCGTGACAAGTGGATTGGGGCAGTAAAATAGTACTTTGAACTGTAACAACTTCAGAATCAGAATTAAAACAAATATTATCTATTTTTCTAAAAGGAGCATTATATAAAATGAGTATGAAAAAGTATAAAATATGATCGAATAAATGGATTCATAATAGACTAAAGGTAACAATAGCAACTTGTTTGATATTAAACCAGTACAACTGGAAAGTTTCCAGTTAGAACAAAACTCCTATGAAATGTTTTCTGATCTTCAACAATTCTCCAGATGATATCAGTCAATGATGAAAATTATCAAATAATTAAGTTGTCTTTGATATAGAATAAGTAAACATACCATTAATTTAATTTTTCCATTCAGTGAAAATATAAATATCTCGTGTTACGTCCTTGATCTGTCTACTCACTTTTGTGCAGAGGATACTTATCTAATCTAGATTAAGACCTTGACGCGATAGGCTGACTGGCATAACCTTGAGGCTAGTAAGCGTGAATTCGAAGCGGGATAGGGAGAAGAAAACTATTCTATCACCTAATTATCTGACAAGCACGCGAGTGAGGAGACGACAAGTCAACTAGAAAACTACTTGATTTATTCCCGATTCCGATCAGTGTAAAAAGTTACATGAATACATAGATGACTAACCCGACCACAACGTACAATAATTAGGAAAATACAATTATATCCAAAACTGGGGATTAGCGTAGAAAATAGAGTATAAAATAATACGTTTAAATTACAATAGCTTCGGAACAAAAAGGGCTATGTCAGTGAATTATACATCAAACGAAAACTTATAATCTGTAGAATAGACTAAAAGACAAAAATAAATGTTACTGTTTTACAAGCTTTGAATTAAATGAAATAACGTCCGTAGTTTGGTAAAGCTTCTTATTTCTCTGTTCACATTATCTCGTAAATTTTATTTCCTTCATACATACAGTATAAATTGATAGACAACTTATCTTAAACTTTCCAACCAAATAATTTGACTGTAATGTGTTTTAAGAAATCTCCTGTTAATATAACTGAAAATATTACATGGATCAGTAGTATAGTGAAAGTTGTGAATACATATTATTAATAAGTAGTATTATATATATGATAGGTTTGAATAATTTTTTCTGGTTAGCGTTTTTTTTGGCGAGTTATTTTTCTACGGGATGAGGTCGCTAAGCCCATGCCTAATCTTCCTTCCTTACTCGGGCATGGGACCGGCAGTGGCCCCAGGAGAGACTCCATTTTATCAATGAAAAACAAACAAACAAACAGATTTTTCATTCATATTAATAAAACTCATCAATAATTGTATTCACATCAAAAAAGTTTCAGTTGTTCCTTCTTTTCTTTTAATAATAAGTAATATGTAAAGTAACTTAGATACATACAAATATACATGTGAATTTTATAAAACACACGTGATCGATCACATTGATTTCATTCACCTATGATTGGTTGTTTAAGTATCCTGTTACTATATCAATGAGTATCACAATGGAAAGTGTTTTTTTTCTTCTTTACTAACTATTAATTGATTATTATCATTTGCACATAAAATACAATGAATTACTCTTTTATTTTACTACAACATATTAGAATACAACCGATAAATCTCTTTTATATATAGTTAATCATAGAAATATACATCATGTCAATTCATTATAATAGAGTTTGATAAATTACGTGATAGGTTATTCAGTTGATTTATTGTCATTGGTGTTGATTTTGTTTGTCTATAATCAATTGAAGAGAGAGAAAAAAAGAATGAATGAAATTTATTTATAAATTTAAAGAAATGTGTACTCATTGTCATTGGACTCCAATTGCAATGCCAGAGATGTATGGAGTTATATTTGGTGAACATGCGGGTCTTATTCACGCTTGCTCTGTAAGTTATTGCAATAAATTATATTTGATATATTTGATATTGCATATATTCTGGTAATATTTTTAAAAAGAAATGATGATAGTTGGTTGAATAGATATGATTATTGAGGAGATGATGAATTCTTAAGATTCTTGATAATTATATTAATAGGGCATTAAATGGTAGATAAGTAAATTACTCTTAACTACTGATAATTATTTTCTCTAAAAGTATAAATAAACATTCAAAACAGAGAGCTCTATTGACTATAACTCTTTAATAATTGGTTTATATAGCTTTATAAACACTTAAAGTATTCATTACTTTCTTTTCACATTATGAAGCTTCTAGATCCTTTTCATTCTTAACTGAGTTAGATATATCGATAGAACTTATAGTCAGAAATGTTGAATAACTTAATATATTTTAGACAATAACTACAAACTGTAAAACACTAGTCAGTTATCTTATGAAGATTTACAGACGATTGGTAACATCTTGGTATTTATGTTTATTTAACGAATATGCATTCAATAGTCTTATAGAAATATTGATATTAGGGTTACAGGCAAAACAAAACGAATGATTGAAGCACTTAGTTAATAACAATAAGACATTTTACTATGCTTCGAAAAGTATGATTTTTAATGAATTTATATGTTAAAAACTAGTATATAATCGTGATCATTATAAAGACAGAATGAAATGTATTCTGATTTGATTTATTTTAATGCGTTGGGATCAAAGAAAGCTAGTAAATCTTTCAAGGACTTACATTCTCTAATGATTGATCAAACAAACAATATTTAGAATAGAGTTAGTCAGTTGAACCAATGTGTGTTTAACGTGATTTTAAATAAAAGCGAAACTGATTCATAGTTGAATTTGTACATTCAGTCTTTATGGTATCCATTTACTTCTTTGTTAAGCTACTCATAAAAATCTACTTCATTCACAGAGTGTTTCGATTAAACTGAAAATATCAATATCATACTTCTAGGGTGAATTTACATGTTTTAAAGAAAACTTTTACATGAGTTTATCTACACAAAAATAATCAATTTATTGTGGTGATTTCAATCACAATCGTTAGTAAGCATTATTTTACCATTCTGAAGTCTACAACGTTTTGTCATTTCCTACCTCTCAGTATTTTTATGTAAGTTACTTACTTACTTACGCCTGTTACTCCTCGTTGAGGGGCTTAGGCCACCAACCAACACTGCCCATCTAACCCTGTCCTGTGAAATTTTTTCCAGCTCTTTCCAGTTGTTATTTATCCTTTTCACATCTGCTTCTATTTTTATCTAAGTTAGTCGACGGTAAATAAGAGAAGATTAAATAACTAGAAAAATAAATATCACCTACTAACAAGGTTTCTGTGCAGTTTTCATTGATCATTCTTGTGACATTGATTTAGATAGCTGAGTGAGTATTTACTCAATAAATATCCCAATTCTGTGTTGCTGTCTAGTAACAATTAGCAGGAAATCTAGGTTTAAAACTTCCTAAATACTGACTTCAACTGCAAAAAATTAAAATAGGATGCTTAAATGGAATTTAATTATTAAAATTTAGTATGGGTTTGTGATTGAGACCATGAATCAATCAATGTTAGACCACCACTGAAAACCTCGAAGCACCAGACGGCCGTTTCGTCCTAGTACAGGACTTCTCAGTAGTGTGAAGATTTAATCATTTGAATGGTTGGCTATAATTTTATTCATTTTCGCCATTGCTCCATGATTTATGTTGTTAATTTGCAATGCGGACGTAATAGTTAAGTTATTCATTGTAGCTTTAATACGTACTGAAGGATAAAGATTTTAGAGCTGAGCTCGATAGTCGGGTCGTGATGCTTTTGTTATCTTTCTAGACATGAAAGAACATAACACCATCGAGTAACTATGGATAAAAACCATTTTCTTTGTCGATTATTGTCAGATTTAAAAGTGAATAAATATAACTGGATATAAAAGCGTCAATCTTCCACACTTGTCATGTGGCATTACTCAGTTCTTGATAGAAGTCACTTTCGAAATATATTGAAGAGAAGACACTTTAGGACACCGTCATCATCATAAAATTGACATAAATCCTAACAAGTTACCTAACTAATTAGTCATGATCGAAAGCGTTATAATGAAATTTCCAAAAAACATGGTTGTTCACAGAAAATACAGTCCCAAAGAATAAATAAAATAAAAGATAAATAAAATCGTTTTTCGTGTTTTGTCTAAGTGCAGCAACTTAGATGTATCCTAGTACAAATCTGAAAAACTTATCTATCACATTTTGAAAACCATCTTTATTTCTCAGATTCTTATCTCGATCATTCAGCGATTTTGTCGGGGCCGTTTCTATTTATTCAAATTACATTCAGGCACTTTCAGAACTAGACTGAATAACAGAAGTGATCGATGAGTAGCATTATTGTTGTTTTATTTTAAAATTTTTGTTTACTCATTTCTGCTGGTCAACTTGCCAAAGTTTTACCTAAACCGGTTAATTCCCCAAATAAAAGATTTTAACTTAAGATACCAGCTATCACTCCATTGTTTCAAGATGTACCATTTCAAACTTGTGCATCAAGAATAAACCGATTTTCTAAAGGACGTGAGAGTAACCTTACTGTTGAGTTACGACTAGTACGAAGTTTGTGCTTAAAAACAGCCTACTTGTGATTTTTCCTGGTGAACCTTATTCTGATTTCATTCACAAAAACTATTTAAAGCTACCTAGACTGTTTATCATTTCAACTCTATGGTTATATTCAATTGATGTTAACCTCTTAAAAACAACATAAGTTTTAAGCGATAGGTTCTAACAAACTTTTCTACAATCATTTCATAACATCTCACCCTTTCAAATGAAATTCGGTTTTAGCAGAGTATACTTGAAATAGAAAAAATAATGCATGAGTACTTAACATCATTCCCCTGTCTATATAAGACAATTATTTGGCATGATATTTATTTCATATGGTATTTTCTTCAATAAACAATATGTATGTCAGTCATTTTTGTAGAAAGCAAATATTAGTACATGAATGATAGATTGTTTTATGTTCTACTATGAATTTATCAGAACAGTTAATTATATGAAATGATATAACTACGCAAAGAAACATTATCCAAAACAGACTGTAAGAGGCGCTTATATATTGCTTCGCCTCTAATTATAATTGAACAAAACCAGAGGTATATTCGATCTTATATCGGAATAACATCATTTATAGACAAATTAGTTTGGTTAAAATTTTCTACATTATAGTGAAGAAAAACTATTTTTGTTCATACGGATCTTTCGAATGTGGTTTTTGTTACAACTGACATAAGTTGAACGAAATTTAAATATCTGTGGTCACTGGATAGTGGTGTCACGAATCTATAAAGTAGCTTGACAATAAAAATTCAAACAGAGTCTTAAGAAGAAAATGAATATTTAGCAGTGCGGATCTTTGAATTCTGACTCAATTAGCTAAGGATATTATGTCCACCTTAGGAAGTCTTAGGTTCAATCCCACATCATATTGTGGTAGCACACAATTGAAGAGTCTCCTGCTAGATTGAAATACTGGCCCACTGCTTTCTATTCTTCAACGATTCTACATTTATCAATATGCATGAAGACTACCTCCATAATATATGAGGTCTCCGGAAATTCCCTTGAATCTCTTTTAAATAAAAGTAATCAATACCGTCTGTTGAAAACGTCAACTTCACTTCGGTTATTAGATTAAAAATGTATATAGAAACCACTTACTATGATATTATCAAATAACCTGCCAGTATACAAAACACTTTTTCTACTATTATGCCTCTGTTTGTTCAGCTTCATATATGATTTGTTAATTGCTTGTCGAATCAATACTCTACATTTAAAAATGGATTTAGTAGAATGTTTAGTGTAGATATCTCACGTGGAGTTAATGAAGCTGCTTTTCTAAAGATTACTTTTCCACCTTTTTTTATTATTCACTAATTTCTATGGTTGTTGTTTTTCGAAAATGTTTTGTGAGTGAGGATTTAAGTATACTTATCCAATATTTAATCCTCACTTAATTTCAGTCATTTGTTAATTCGATAAATCTAAATCTTTGAACATTAGAGACAATCAAGACACTGAAAACACTTATTAAAGTATATTTCATTGGAAATATTAGATTCATTTTAGAAAACTGAAAACTATAAATGATTGCTTCTCAATAAATAATGAAATATTCGAATACCAAAAAGAACTAGATACCTAGTCTACAATGAATAAAATTGGTTAATCAATCAATAACATGAAAGAAGAGATGTAATCTAGGCATCCGTCAAGTTCAAATCTTGATTTCCATGATCTCAAACATTTTGAAGTAAAAAAAAATACTTCTGGCACCGATATAAGATAATTTTAAATCGGTCTATAAAGTTATGATTTGAAATGTGATTGAATAATTCTTTGTTAGTTACAGAAATTATTAAAATATCCGTTTAATCAACTCAAAACTTTGTATCTTCAACAGACAATAGAATAAAGTAATTTAAGTTCTGATTATTGGTTCTATGTAGCATAAATTATCAAATAATTATTAATTGAAGTTAGACGTTAACACTATTGGATGACAGTTCAGTGGTCTAGAGGTTAAGGGTTCGCTTGCGAAACTTATAGGTCCTGGGTTCGAATCTCGCTAGGTGAAATTGTGGATACGCACTAATGAGGAGTCCCGCAATAGGACGAAACACCATTCAATGCTTTCAGATTTTCCATGGTGGTTCAGCTTCAATTGACTCATGACCTCAACTATTTAAACAGTTATTAGTTCAGTAGTGTTTATTTTCTCAAAAGAACATAGTCTCACATCACTATGAATTTTCTATTTAATTCGATATCAATACAAAAAAAGAAAACGAATTGATAAAGTACACCACTGCTTATTCATGTAAAATATATTGATCGGATACAAATTTATATGTAAGATACACGTGAGTAAATTGAGTACTCAATAGATTGATTTATTACTTTATACACAAAAC